TATATATATATATATATACGTATATATATTTTTATATATAAAAAAGTGATGAAATCTTTGTAACTATCTACCATTTAACGGTAAAGACGTGTCTTGCTTTTCAATTTTAAATTGCTGAGTGAATGTACATTTCCCTTCCAAATAATGTTCACTCGATCTTCATCGATGCACTTTTCACTCCACGTCTTAGTTGTTTTACACGGCCACGTCCTCTTGCGCATTTTCTTTTTTAAACTTTAACAGAGGCTTTCGCGTCATTTAGAGTGTATGTTTTATGTATAATACACGCATTATATCTCGTAATTTATTCTTTTTTTTTTTGCATAACTTGAAAGAGGCAGTATTCCCGACAGCTTCTCGTCGTCCATCGTAAAACAAGTCACGAAAGTGTCATCGGCACATTTTTCACGTTTCTTCCCTTTCTTTCCTCCTTTCCCTCTTTTTTTAACTATTGTACATGAACGCGTATACATTAGTGACGATTATTCTAATAATTGAAATAGGACCCAACGCGCCATAATCTTAGAGTAGATCTCGTCTTAGCAGGGCGCTTAACGAATACGTAACAAAAAGAAAATAACATACATAAGAAAATTTCGGGGTAATAAAACCATGAAAAACATGCGAATATATCACTTACGGAGGGAGGAAACAGAAAGCGAAGAAGCGGTAAAAAAATAACGGAAATGCCACGTTTGATTCTTTTTCCAAATATTTTTATTCTCTTTATATCATTAAAAGCACGAAAAAGAGAGAAAAACAAAAGGCTGATTTTATCAGAGCTGTTTTTTTACGCCGTTACTTTTCCTCCTGCGTCGCAATTATTCTCTACCGTACGTCACATTTTCAAAAAAGAAAAATAAATAGTTAAAGTTCCGCAATTGTATTCGCGCGAACAGCAAGATGTTAAAAAAATTATTTCCGCTTACAGTTTTACTTGCTGGTCCTTCATTTTTCACGCGAATGCCATTAATATGACTAGAGGCTTAATAACTTGTCAATTTTGCGTTATTCGCTGATAGGATTTTTTTTTCATATTTGTACCAAAAATAAGAAATCATATCGTTCCAGGCTTCAAAGTACAAAAAGGAGAAAATCACCTCTTGAGAAAGCCATGGAATTGCGAAATGCAAAAAGCACAGATCTGTTTCCATTAATCTGCTCACTAAAGTTTTCTATTCCTTCGTAATTCTCTGCTTTAAAATCATTATTTCTTTCATTTCAAAGTTATGTTGGAAGTACCGAAAAGGGGACGCATTATCCACGTTTCTCGCATTTTTAACGTAACGCCTGATATTTTACATCGAACTTTGGAAGAATTCTTAATAATACAAAGAATCGAAGGAACAAGGATCTTCTCTTTTGAGATGGAGAAAGATCTTTCCCGTTTGATATCTAACAAGTATAAAGCATTACGTAAGCAAGATTAGTTATTTATATATACGTGTAAAAAAAGAACCGATTTTGCGAAATTCGAATATGTTCGAGGTTTTCAATATCTCTCCAAAATCGTCGGAGACTGGTGCTCGCTTACTTTGTAATCAGACAAATTACATTTTTTTTTTGGTTCCACTAGGAAAAAATGTTTCGATAGTCGCTTTCCGGAATCCACGCATTTTTCTCTCAATTCTCTCGATTTTGACAACCGACGCATCCCATCATAATTTTTTTATCGTGATACACAACAACTTTTCATATATACAAATTATATATTTTATTCGTAATTAAAACAAAGGTTTATGAAACTCCTATCGAATTAAAATATTCGTTTATATACCATAAATGAAAAGTAAAGCGCATCACGCAATTAACTACATATATATGTGTATAGAGTGAATGTACAAAATTCTTAAAAAAAGAAAATAAAAAAGACGCTGCCGGAACGTGGTTGCCGGAAGGCGATTGGACCATGTAATCCTGCAATATTAAGAAAAACCATCGATCTTATTTACTTATATATTAAATATTAATAATTATAAATTACGATCACCGTTAATATTAATAGTATAATCATTATCATTAATATTATTATTTTAATTTTAAATGCATACACAGTTTCAACATTTATTTTTGATAAAAAAGGATAGAACAGGCAGGAGTGAAAAAAAAGGAACAAAAAAAGGATAATAGCGTGGAAAAAAAGAGGAATCTAGCTCTAGATAGGAGCGATGAAAGTTATAAAAAAAAGCTATCGAAAAAATACAATTACGTACTTACATGTTTACAAAGAAAGGCCGTAATAAACAAAATGTGAATAACAACAAAGTATTGAAAAGGTAATAATGATAAGAAAAAGAAAGAAAATTTCGCGGCCTTTTCTATTAACCTGGGATTCTTTGGGTCCTATTTCAAAGGTACTTTTAGCACGACTCTTCCGATCGAGAGCACGTGCTTGCCTCGTGCATGAGGATTGATTGGCGTTTAATCGACAGTGGGGAAGAGATACCGCCGAGACGATAGTTAGGGATTAATTCTTCTTCTCGCCGTTGCCGTAATTAGAGATAATTGGACAGGGCGGAGAGAGAAAGTTAAGGTATAGACACTATGAACTAAACGATTACACATTACATTAAACGTACTCGACACTTCACGGTGGCCCGATGCCATTTTCGTGCAATCTTAACGCAGTTACGATGCAAAAACAGATGAAATTCTATCTGCGCTCTCTCTCTCTCTCTCTCTCTCAAACTTTAATACATCGCTCCTTTCGTAATCTTCCATAAACGTTAACGTCCAGATGAATCGAATATTTATCAAAGGAGCAACTATGTTCTAGTTCTGTATTCAGCACTCGTCTTATTTATCCGCGCGTTTCGATCGTTTTTTTTTTTTGATCGACAATTGGCCGCGCGCCTCTGACTCTCATTCTCACAGCTTTCTCTCTCAATCTCTTGTACAAAGTGTTCAGTCGCTTTCATACTCGCAAAAAACGTAGACGCAGAACGGCCTATGGCAGAAATCTATACAAAATAAATAACGATACATTTAATCAATCGAGAGGGTTGTGGTGCTGGTAATAGTAATAATTGTAGTGGTGCAAAGTCGGCGTATTTTATCATGATAAGAAAAATGATCCTCTCTCTCTCTCTTTCTCTCTCTCTCTCCCCCCCTCTCTCTCTCTTTCTCTCCCGTTTGACGGTGCTCATGAACGAGGGCAAAGCTCGCGTGACGAGTTGTGTGTGACTTGGATGTGTCTCGAGGCTGCTGGATCCGCATCATTCCGCCGTTTTCGCGTGCAAGTGTACGCAATTCGTGTCATAAATCTCCATCGATACACATGTGTGTTCAATGTGCGCCATATAAACTCGAACGCATCATTACTGGGATTATGAGCTTGACTGTGCTTGTCTCTCATCTCTGAGTCGTGACGCATTATTACGATTACATGTCGTATCACGCTCAATAAAATTTCATTTTGCGCATGGGAAAAATAATTCGTAGCTAATCGCCGGAGCAAACATTAACAGTGTTTCCTCGGCAGTGAACGCTTGAACCTTGGTTCGAGATGAAAATCTCTCGACGATCGTCGACGCGAGATTGTCGTCCGTCCTTCGAACTTCGGAATCCTCGATTGGGAGTGCCCCCGTGGGAAAAGAACTATCAAGTTGTGAACTAGCACGTGCATCTCGAAGGTTCGCGAAGAAAGTCCTTGAAAAAGGGAAGGATAAAAAAAAAGTCTGCGCCCAATGCCGCAGAGTTCTTAACTGTCGACCTTGTTAGCGCTTGTTCTCCATTCTTACGTCTTATCCTTCGTCGCGCGGTCTTTTTCTGCAATGTATCTTCGTATTTGATCTAACTCGAGAATTCTTAAAAGCGTTGATATTCGTGGTCCTTGTCGCCGACTTTACTGCGTCGCCAGGTCAAGTCAACTACGATGCGCTTGCCGTGGGAATCTTTTTTACCACCATAACCCAAAACGTTCTTGAAATCACCGCCGTTGCTGTTGTCGCTATTATCATGGGTCTTCATACGCTCATAATTGTTATTGTTGCTGCTACTACTGCCGTTGCTGCTGCTACTGCTACTAATCCGGTATCCAAAGTTTCTGATCAGCATCAACTCCGGTGAACCTGGCGAATTGTTTGCCAGTGTCTTGGCTGCTGGCACGCCGACTTGCTCGGTGGTCAGATGGTGGTACTTGATTCTTATGCTGTAAATTGGTTGACTGTAGTTGGTTCTTTGAAGAAACGTCCTTGGGACAGCCCCAAGTTAGTTCCAAATGCGTAGGAACGAATCCCAGGAGCCCGTCGCCACCGCCATGCCGTCTTCCGTCACGCCGAGACAAGACACACGATTGTCATGCCCAGCGAGAATTCCTAGAAAACACAATTATGGGAAATATTCTTTAATACAATAGTAAGAATATAATTTTTATCTTTTACTCCAATAATTAAAATTGATAATAATAAACTCGGAAGAAAATGATCGAGAGAAGGGCTTCGAATAAAATCTCTCTTCTATCTTACGATATTAAAACGGCTGTAAGGTATCGTCAACCTACCAGCTCGCTCCGTCTTCATAGAATCCCAAACGTTGCAGTTGAAATCATCGTAGCCTGCCAGCAATAATCTACCGCTCCTGCTGAAAGCTACGCTGGTGATACCGCAAATGATATTGTCGTGACTATACATCGCGAGCTCCTGATCCGCCCTAATGTCGAAAAGTCTGCAGGTCGCGTCGTCTGAGCCCGTCGCGAAAGCATATCCATTCGGGAAGAACTGTGAATAATATATCCAAACCATCAAGTTAATCCTTAATGAAACCTTTATCGAAAACGCATTGATATTACCATTACAAAAAGGTAATTCTTTATTTTTTTATTTCTTAACATAATATCTCACCGTGACGGCGTTTATGTCACTCTCATGACCCGGGAAGGTCTGCTTACAGGAGCCTTCACGAATATCCCATAACTTTGCGCTGGCATCGCACGCACCGGACACGAAGGTGCGTGTATCCGGCGCCAACGACAGAGACATCACATCGCCAGTATGCCCGATAAACGACGTACATTGTTGGCCAGTTTCGATGTCCCATAAAGCACTAAATCAGAACAATTCAGCATTCGAGTTCACGTTATAATTTTCCAAAGTCTTCATCGGGATCAACGGCGGAAAGGATTTGGGAATAGACACAGAGAAAAAAAAAATTTTTTTTTACTATGTATATTTTTATTATGTTTTTGATTTACTAAATGCAATAGTTTGTAATGTTTGTATTTGATAAAACGTATTAACAAATACGATTGCATTCATAATATTTCAATTTTTTTTTCTAAATTAAAAAATATAAGAAATAAAGAAAAAAGAAATATACAATTTTATTTTTATTTTATGTATTAAATTTTTTATGTATTTTATATAGTTATATACTTTTTATTTTATCTTGCAAAAGTTTAGAAAATAAAGTTTTAAAATATAAAGAACACAGGATTTTACTATCATAACAATTTTTGGTCATCCATCATAAATCTCGTAAGTGATACTTACCAAGACATATCACCGGAACTGGTGACGATTTGGTTGTCGTCGTAAAATCGACAGCAGGACAAGTATCCAGTATGACCTGGAAGTTCTCTGCTCACTCGAACATTCCCTTCCCTAGTTTTAAGACTATAGATGGAACAGATATTGTCCAGCCCGCCGCATGCCACGTAACTACCTGAAGGCGCGTACGCACAAGTCATTACCCATGATGACCGTAATGGGATCGCGTGAACCTTATTGGTAGTGTAACTATCCCAAACGATCAGTTTGCCATCTTGCGATGCAGAGACTAGATTCCTATGCACGAGAAACAAAATATACGTTGATAAAAACTTAACAAAAAGAAACTTCCTTTATTTATAATAATTTTGCATATAACCATCATTTTGAAGTATCATAAAATATGAAATAAAGATCTATTTTAGTGCTCGAAAATATCAGATGATTTGATAGTTGGGACGGTTCGAATCTCAAGTTCGAACATTAAATAGTTCGGACTGAATGTATGTTCGAACTATCTGAATCCACTTCAGAGCTAAAAATTCAAAATTATTACATTTCAAATTCAGATATTAATAAGTTGTTCTCAGAATCATCCTGAATATGCCCAAGATGGATATTTGTAGGACAATATCAATAAATATAGGAATTTTATGTAAATTTAATATGCACATTCAATTACATTCAGTTATATATATTGTGACATTATTACACATGTGTTTCATCTTCTGAACTGTATTCACATGTACATTCATGTATTAAAATTTAAACGACAAATAAATTCATATTAGATTTAGAATTAAGACTTACTATTTAAACGAAAACGTTTACAATTACAATACGTAATTACAATATGTATTTACGTATTTAAACGCATTTACAATTTATATTGTGGAATACTGTTTCGAGGATTTAATGTAGTTATAGATGAATTTGAACGTTTCCTTACAAATGTTACATTGCACTTTATTATCATTACATTTAATAAAATATTCCTACACGCGATTTTTTCTTTTTGACATTTTTGTAATGTTTATATGTTGAAGTCTCGCAAAAAACTGCTTTTATGTTTCCAAAGCACATTACATTTGTTTACTGTCCAAACCGTCCAAACTTCAGACATAATGAATTGATATTTCATACCGATCATTGTTTAAGCTCGAACTGTTCGAACTGTCCGAAATGTTCGATGCTCATTTTTTTAAACTTCGAACTATTCGAATAGATCGAATATTCAACATGTTTGAATCTTTTGTCTGAGCCCTTAATCTATTTGTATCTTTAATATTATAAATCTAAGTGTGTAAAAAGTGATTAAAATATACATATATGTGTGATTAGTTTTCTATGTAAAAATGATACTATACTACATGTTTAAATCCAAATGTGTAAATTCATTTTTGTATACAATATAGTGTGTTATTTTTATACGAAAAACTAATCACATACATATGTATATTGTAATTACTTTTTACATGGTAAATTTGTGTGTGTGTGTGTGTGTGTGTGTGTGTGTGTGTGTGTGTGTGTACACACACATATATATATA